CACTAACCATTTATTTTCATAAAATATAATTTAGATGTTGAAGTTAACTACTACCATCAACTGCAAGAATATTCAGTTGCTGACCACTAGATGGAGTTTCTAAAGAGTTTTCAATCAAGGCCTCAATATACCATAGCCCTAATTTCAGAATTACTTTCAACATGATTTTTTAAAAGATCTTTTAAAACAAATAATGATACAAAACTTGTTTTAAAAAACCTCCGCAACACAGACTAGTTAATTTTGAAACCAAACCAATTATTGTCACCTTTAAGATCAATTTAAACAGGCTTATTTATTTATTTATTTATTTTGAGGTGCCTAAGATAAGGTTTTTAGAGTCCTATTTAAATTGGTATAAATGAATAAATAAAAGGCCCACTTTACAAAGTGGCTATGTGAGCACCAATGCTTCTCATTGACTTCACTGGGATTTGTGGCTATTGGGCATCTCTGAAAATGAAATTAGTTTTGTTTTAGGAAGTATCTGTATAGATTAGTAAACCTGATTTCAAGCATCTGTATGTGCACATTTTACCATGATTTTACATTAAGCTCTTTTTTTCCTATCAGCTTTCTATCCATATTGGTATCAGCGCCCCTCACTGTTAGTTATTGCTTACTCTCTTTCATGATACCCTACCAGCTGCCTTAAAATCCAGACAGAAGATTCACTTTCCTTTTGCCAGGTTTTGTTCTCCATTCCAAAATTCCCTTAATAGAACATGAGTTTAAATATGCTTTAGGTTTTTTTAAATCTGCAAACTGTACGATAAAAATCTAATAAATGTAGACTCCTCTGCTGGCTTTGACATTTATTAATGTAGGAACTGTGCCTGCTGAAGTGACAAATTTTCTCTCCCAAACTCTGAACATTCTTGTTGATAGAATTAAAAATGTTAGTACTTAACACAAGGGGAAAAGTAGAGCAAGACCGTGTTGGCAACTGATTATACAAAACATGGAGAGGGAGAAATAAAAGGACAAAATAGCTGTCAACAACTGCTGGCAAGAAAATTAGTTCTATTTTCAACCTTTATGAGAGAATTACAGACAATGGCAAGTCAAACAACAGAGGAAAAAAGCCTTTGTTAGCTCTGTGCACGCATCTTCAGAGCATCTTCAAAATATGCAGACATAGTTGTTGACTAATGACAGTGACAAAATTAGTAAATACAGTATAGGAGTTATTTAATCTGTTAATGCTTTTGTGTCCATGGTAATCTAATTAGTTATTTGAATATATTTACTCGTAGGAGAATATGGGGTTTTGTAGTTAAAGTAGCAATAATTTTCACTTAAAGAAGTTTACAAAAATTAATTTGTACCCACTTTCTGGCTGCATGAACTGAGGCAAAAATGATTACCTAAGCTGAGAGTCATGAGGTTAGAGTACAACTGAGGCTCAAGCTCAGGAGTCCATTTCTGCTCTCACTTTCACTGTTCCCATAAAGTTAGTGTCCTTACTCAGGACTTGCACTGATGTGAAACCAGAATTTGGCTTCAGACTTAACCACTTTTTCTTAACAAACAAACAGCGAATAACTGTTTTAAAAAGTAGCTAGCCATAGTATGTCTCCATGTAACTCAGTCTAGTTTTAAAGATCAGTAATATCCCTCAAGGATTTCAAACATAGCTGGAGTTATTTTCACTGCACTGTGGGGGCTTATAGTTCTGTTACAGGATACAAATAGCTTATGTGATCCTACCCTCCTGCCACAGAAAATTGTTGGTTCCAGTGAGATTTATTTTTACTGGGCAATGGGAAAATGGCACCTTAAAATGAGACCTAAAAACTCGGACTGTGATCTTTCATATACTGGTTCTATAGCAGTGTAACTCGGCTAGAGTGGTGTCACATCTAACTTACACCAGTAAAAGTGAGACTGAGCCAGAATTCAGATTCTGTAAAACCAGTGATCACTGCTCGTCTGGATTACTGCTTGTCTGGAAACTAGCTTGTTGATATTGATATTAAAAGATTCCCTGAAACTTTTTGTCTTGGTGAAGTTTTCCTCTCTAACATAAATATTGTGTATACCAATCATCGTTATGTATATATTGGCTCTAGCAAATGGGAGGTTTATTTGCTGGCCAGAGGATGAAAAATCTGCAAGCGGTATTTAAAGTATACTCTATGGGTGCAGACAGAAGTACAACTCCCAGTTGTAACTGAACAATTTTTGCAAAGCATTCTGATTTACAAGGTTACCGCAGGCCAAACAGAAGTTCACTGCTGGTTCCAGGGGGAGGCAAATCCAGCTGTGGGCAGGGAGCCTGCAGCGAGGTTTCCACAGCAATGGCCAGGGCCGTCTGCCAGTGCTCTCTGTTTTCAGAATGGGAGGGGGGAAAGGTAGCAGAGGGAGCTCATTCTTGGGGCTCCCCAGCTGGTGCTGAAGGATGGGGTGGGTGAATTGGAGCCTCCCCCCCCACCTTGGTGGGGCTGTAATAGATCTGCCCCACCCTCTGAGGGGCTGAAAACCCCCCAGACTGAACTCCCTCCACTCCCTTCCGCACTCCCATTCTGAAAACAACAATAGGCTGGAAGCTCCCAGACACAAGTTACAAAAGATATGCTATGTTTTGTAACATCTTTATCTGATAACTCATGCAATGAGGGCTCAGATTTTCACCCAATCAGCCATTTTTGAAGCTGTTTGCAGCTGTGCACTTGTGTTTGGTCACAGCTATAAGCTACTTTCTGTGGCCAGATCAGGCAAACATTGTTACTTCTGTCTGCATCTTATGAGTTTGTTCAAAAATGCCAGCTCTATTTAGAATAGTAGAAAGTGGCTTTAAAATTGCTGCATAGAACTATAAAAACCGCTCGCAAAATATTTAGATTCTGCTCCTTCTTGAAGAAGTATGTCTCATCTTTGTAGATTATGGGCAAAGTTTTCAGAAGTGTCTACATTATTTTGGAGCCTAAATCCACACCCCAGTGAAACTCATTGTGAACACTGGGCACTTTCACGTGTGCTCCATGGGTGAGGGTGGGGACAGCACTTTAATTAAGCGAGAAAGCTACTCTAATTAAAGCTCCATCGCATCTCCTGTATCAGGGCCCCTGTGGTTAAAAATGGTCGTGGGGTCACTTGAACTAAATATTCTTTGACAAGCTTTAGTTCCCCATTTTTAAGCATGAGGATGGTTTAGTTCCCTATTTTAAAGCATGCCATTTTTAAGCATGGGGAAACTGATACATGAGGTGCAATTGCCACACTCCAGCAGACCCAATTAATGGAGTCTGCTCAGAGCAATCTCTACGCTTGTGTACAGATGCCCCTAGTGCCTAAATTATCATTATAATCGACTATGTCCAATTTTCAAGAGGGACTTGCACATACAGGGTCCAAAGTCCCATTGACTTGCAATGAGAATGAAGCAACTAAGTCTTCTTTTGGCAAAAGGACTTAAGTTGCTAAGTTACTATCAGTAATTTTGATAGTTCTACCCCTGTAAATTACCATCACGTTTCATTTGCTGTAAACCTACAGTCTGCATAAAAATAAGAATCGGGCTAGTCAAATGAAGGTTTAGTACATTGCAAAAATAAATATTTTGAGTATGGTCCCTTTCATGCTTCTTGACCCATGGCATTAGATGTTTTCATCATATAGTAGGACTACTACTATGAACATTTTGGATGGCATGTTAAATTCTTAAAGCTGAGTTCTCCTTGGCTGTGGATGGCCCAGAACTGAGGATGATTACACTTCAGCTATTTAGGGTACTGGTGGAGATTGTGCAAAGAGCTGAGGTCTCTGATGTTTCTGTTCTGCAGCACACAAGGAAGGAAATGTCAGTGATTTGATCACTGGCCCAAGAAGTATGTTACTTTTTGACCACAGAATTGCGTGATGGTAACTGTTACCTCAGCCCACGAGCAGAGACGTAAGCATCTGTGTTATGCTCCTTTACACAATGTCAGTTTACTTGGGTTTTATGCTGAGACCTAGGATTTTTTTCACTCACAACTGATTCACATTCGTGAATTATGAGATTTTTATGATGTCAGAACATGACTTGCAGAGTTTAATCATTTGAAATATTTGAGTAATATGGTTTGATGTATAAGCTGTGTAGCTTGGGATTTTGCCAGATAGTCTTCTACACGTACATTATTTTAACTGCACTGGTAGTTGTGTTGATGCAGGTATACTGGCATAAAAGTGTTTATATTAGTATAGGGATTTTGGTTATTTTGATTCAGTGAAGTATACCATGCTGGTATTAAGCACTTTATAGTGCTGTTGGGACTTCACCAGCAATACTATGATAATAAAACTTCATAACCCGTGTTGTCTTTGGTTTGCTGGCAGTTTTCATTGGGCCTTGGGGAAACTGACAAGGCAGTTACTTCACCATTTATTGACACGCAGACTTTGCCATCTGACATGGCTCTGACTGAGATGGTACGCTGCCTCTCCAGCTAATAAACTGTCATTAATTTTGGCATAGGCTTAAGCCTCATGTGGTATATGGTTATGCAAAACGAGCTAAAGTTAAAAGCTGTGCTATCAAATACCTTCAGTCCATGCATTAATACCGAGGCCAAGACCCCTCACTGTGACAACCGGTGAAGAAAAATTATCCATACAAATGTAGGTAAATACATTCAAATTACTTGCGTTTTAGTCGGTATGTGCTGGGCACTGCACACAGTAAAGTTTGAAATATATCAGAGGAACATAAAGCAATGCCACATTTTGTGGCAAAAGGAGTACTTTTAACTGTAGAAAGGGAAGAAAAGTATATGGGAGAAGTACATGGAGAAATATCAGAAAAGGGAAGAGTAGACAAGAAGTGGCCAGTCTGTACTCATTTTAAATTATGTATGGAGAAAAACGTTTTTTGGTAGTTGATCATTCTGTCTTCAGCAGAAAGAAATCTGAGGGGCCAGTTATTTTGCTTCTTAGTGGAAAGTGTAGAAACTCATAACTTTATTAGATCAACAGCAACTCTAGAAAAGAGGTGTCGCAATAACATAAGCAGATACAGAGATGAACAATTCTGTTAGTTTATTGATTTTACGTAATTTGCCCTTTAACAAGAGGGCTACAAGCCATAGATTAATTCAAAAATACTAGATTTAATTTTGTGAGAAAATAATACTGTTAATAATGGCACTTTTTCTTGTGCTTTGTAATGTACACTTTATACACACATCAACATATACAGTACACTTCAATTGTTCAAAGAGGTTTACATTTAAATGATGATAAACTTGTATGTTCTCCATAGGAAATAATTTAATAAATTCTTTGCACGTTCTTTTTACATCAGTAGGCTGCTTTTATCTGCATATATACAGTACTTTACCTATATTCATTCAAATGTAAAACAGATCAGCTTATATTTACAAAGGAATCAGAAACCTTCAGGCATTATCATGGAAAGGCCTTACTTCTGGTAACTTGTTTGCTTTGTTTTGAAAGCTTTGGATTCACGTTCCTTAATATATTCTCTTCCGCATTTAATTTTTTAAGTACATTTTCTAATGTATTTTTGGGTATTTTAACATTTATCTTTTTAAATCGCTGCTAATTCAATCACAGAAAATGAATAGAAAATTAGGGTTGGAAGGGACCTCAGGAGGCCATC